AAAAAACTTGCCAAGTACACCTCTTCGTTTCAATTACGCGGCGATCGGCCAGAAAGGCAACCATGGCAAGCCATTAACAGAAGCGAGTGCCGACAGTAGGCACACTTTTGCCAGACCTCATAACATTCACAGTAATAACACTTTGGACATGCCCACTACAAAGGAACTTGTGTCCGGATAGTATGTGGAGCATGGCCAGGCCGAACAGAAGAATAAAGGGAGAGCCAGGAATTTTTGGTGAAAGGAGCATGTAGAATTTGTCACAATGTGAAGTTTGGTGAACTTGGACACCCGAGGCATGGATACTGAATTGAATGGCGTGACCACCAGTCAGAGATAAAGGGAGCCTGTCCAGAGATTGTGTTTGATTGTTAACGTGCCTGAGTGTCCCCGATGACAAAGTTTTTCAGACGTCGGAGGGCTCGATGGGACATTGGGTCTGCAGGTGGGGCATTGACATCTACCGCAGACATTAATGAACAAAAAAAACAGTGGGGAGAATAAGACACACACGGTAGGCTGATCGTATCACACGGTGAATAACTGCAGAGAATGGTGGAGAGAGGTCCGTATAGCAGGCAGATTTCTCTGTTCCCCACCTAGCTGGCCCCAGGCACAGGGGTCTTGGGTGCTAACCGGCAGTATGATGCATAGTGTCAAGGTAGTAGGCCTATGACCTATTGTTGGAGCCACTGTCAGGGTTAAGCACTTGTGACCCAGACTCACATTCACTATCCATGTACATGTATAGGGGCCATACAAGCAAATGGCGTAAAGTGGCCTGGTAGAGTACACATCAAACTCCCGCACACCTGGATACCCCAAAAGTAGACAGATCAAGGCAGAGGCATAGGCCTGAATAAGAAACATACCACTGCAGTTGTACCCGGAATGAATTTGTTAAGTGCAAATTCAATTCAAACTTAAAATAAATGGGCATTCGTGTATCGGACGGACCGCCGGAGCCAGATGTGAAGCCAATGAAGCTGGAAGTCGGAAGCAGAGCCGGTTACAAATCTGGGTGAGGATTCAGATGGAGATCCTCACACGGGGGATTTGGGTCAGGAGCAGTTGCCGGGGGAGTGGAGGTTGACTCGAGGTGGCTTACTAAAGTGGACAGCATCTCCGAGAGAGCGGACCACTGTCATCAAATTAGATGAAGAATTATATGTATCTTGTTCACATGTACAGCGAGATTTTTTAATTTGAACCTCGCAGAAGACAATTAGTGTTAACACTTCTTATGTGCGGGTGATCTGGCCGAAGAACCTGAAAACCCGCAGCGTAAGCAGCATGTCCAGAATGTTGGTCGTGATTGGCTGAAGCGGGCTGAGCTGCCAGGGAGCCATGATGGAAGTACCCTGGTCGGATAGCCCCAGCCGGTAGCCAGAAGACGTGATGATCAACAGCATTCAAAAACCACAGTGATGCAGCAGGCCAATGGGTTCTGTAGCCCGAAATGCAGTTGGTAAAGAGCCCACGCAGTTCGGTGGCGCCTCTGAATGCACTGCCCCCGGGGACAATGGGGCGTCGGCCCAAGGCATTGAAATGTCCAAGTCACGTCTGAGTGAACCACTGTGGAGTTCGTCTGATGGCTGTAGTTCATGGCGTGTGGCGGTCATTATAGCTGGCCCGGGAGGCGTGGGGTCGTTGGGTATGTAACCTCTGAGCGTTAGCCCGGTGCCTGAAGTGTGGCGTAGCTAACCTTAACTGAACAGGGACCAGTCTAGTCAGTGCAACGTGAGGCTGTGTGCCATGTTGTGCTGTAGACTCGCCCATGGCAAAAGGAGTGGAGCTCAGCAAACTTGCTGTGGAGCCTGTTGCCCGCTTGGAGGGGGTAGACTGGCCCAATTTCTGAGTGGAAGAAGCATGGCGAGCAGAAGCCGGTAAGGGACCTAGCAGGCGGCGGACCGTCGCCCCGCAAGCCCCGCTGGGCCATCCATAGGCACGGTTGCTCGGGGATGTGGTAGGTAGAGACACTCTTTATCTGCAGCATAAAGAAAGAGAACAGCTCCCTACGCTCTGGTTAACCGTGATCAAGGGTAGTGTTGTGACACAGCACGCTCAACCCAATCAGTAGGTACACACAGAGGCCATCAGAGATCAAGGGTAGTGTTACGGTAGTTACACGCTCAACCGGATCAATTTCAGTAGTGGTCATCAGTGATCAAGGGTAGTGTTGCGGCACAGCACGCTCAACCCAATCAGTAGGTATACAGAGTGGCCGTCAGAGATCAAGGGTAGTGTTGCGGTAGTTACACGCTCAACCCAATCAATTCCAGTAGTGGTCATCAGTGATCAAGGGTAGTGTTGCGGCATAGCACATTTAAGCCCAGTCCATTCACTCCACTGGGTCTCTCCCTGTCACGGCTGTTAATCTTGGATAACGCAAAACTGCACCACAAAGGAGCGGGGCAACCCACCAAGCCCCATTCCACGGCCAGACCCATACAGTGTTGGGCCGTTATTATTTGAACGCACGCACCACATTGAGAACAAAGGGCTGCCTGTGAGCCCCATTAAACGGCCATACACAACACATTAAAACGGTAGCTGATGAAAAACGTGTACAAAATCTATGGGGGAGATTTAATATCCAAAATTCAACTTAAAAATAGGTGATGACGTCATAAATTTAGCAAAATTCTTTCATCAGGGTCTTTGTTGTCTGCAACTTTGAAGTTGATCAAACCTTTCAAACTAACCCAAACGCTGGCTTAAAAACGTGTGCAAAGTCAATAGGCTGAAATAAATATTGAAAAATCAATACCAAATCACATGATGACGTAATCATGACATCATTTACTTAAAATAATTCTTGTATCAGGGTCTTTGTCGGCTGTAACTTTGATAACGATCAAACACCGCAAAGGTTTCAAAACTGTGCCTTGAAAATGTGTACAGAGTCAATGGGCTGAAATGAATATTGAAAATTCAACACTGAATCCACGTCATCATGACGTCGTTTCTTTAGAATAATTTTTACATGAGGGTCTTTGTTGTCTATCACTTGGATAACAATCAAACATTATTTATGAACCGGAATGAAGTCAATTCACGAATGTAAAAGGTTATGGAACTCGAAACTCCGAAAATGCCAAAAGACATGTCCATAAACGATAGGCACTGAGAAAAGAAGGATGAACATGGCGGCGGGACCGCAGTGCATTGTGGAGGGTCAAGGGGCAGTATGCATAATCAAGTCTTTTCAGAGAATTGTAACAGGCACATGCGAAATTTGCATATGTAGGCTGGGCAGGGGTATGTGAACGCAGGAGACTCACTGCCTAATGTAAGCTAGCATGAGAATCCTTGCATAATGTAAACTGTTGCAATTGCAGTGGCAATAATTGCCTAAGATGACTGATGAAATGTTCCGTACTGAAAGGCAATAACAAGTGATGTGGAATATTTGATTCTGTCACTGAATAAAATGATTTTTTTTTCCAAAATTTAAGAC